TTCATCCAGCCCAGGCGCACTCAATACTTGAACAATGTCAACGCGGCGGAGAATGTTAAAACATACATAAATATTTTTTGTTGTTCTATAAACATATTTTATAAATTAATTTCCAAAACAATTAATAATAAGTACTACAATTTAGCACACCTACATATTTATAAGTTTTAATGTATTTTGTTTAAACTGCTTATACAGCATTACTATATAACATATTTGGATTCTTTTATTGTTACAGTTAATTTTCTTTATTTAAGTTCATTGGCCATTTGTTCATTCACTTTTGCAATGTTTTTAAATTTCTTTAACACATTTATTTATTTTGCTTACATAGCATTTAATGTCTGCTAGTGACCGACCTACATTACTATTAATTTGTATCAGCATTTATCAATAGCATCTTTTAATTAATTATGTTAAGTAATTATGTATATAAAGAAAGCCAAACATAAAGAAAATTCAGTCGTCTTTTGTAGTGACTAAACTAAGAGTTTTAATTACTATCTATGCGGCTTCCTTCAAGTTCATGTGCTTGCAAGGAAATTAATTTGGATACTAAGTGTCAGTTGAAATTTATGTGTTTGAATTGAATCGCGCTAGATCCTACTATCAAAACACCATACTCATAACGGAGGGTCACACACACACATACATAAATTGCCATACTCAGAACGGAGGATCACACACACACAAACTATTTGTAAACAAACGCGCACGTGTTCACACGTACACGGACGTACAGACGATATGTTTACTGTAATTTGATACTTTAATGAGTTTTTGACAATTTTAATGACTTTTGGCTAATCCTTTGTATTTTAAACTCTACATCCATATTCTACTTGTACAACAAATACAAATGAATTAATGAAAACTCCATAGCATGGACTGATACTAATAACACATGGTAGAATGTACAATCCTCAAACTACTGCAATTTAGATTACATAGTGTAGAAATTAGCGAGTATTTGGGGTTATAATTATATGAGGGCTACGCCTAATTAATGGCCGACATATGTCAATTTCGAACCCAATAGTTTTGTTTTGTGTCTCAATTCTTTCCTTCAGGAGGTATAATTATACGGGGGAGATGCCTAAATTCTGGCCGATTAACGTCAGGTTCGACTTTTTTATCACGATTTCCTTAGAATGCGGAATGATTACAACCGATGGCTAAATCGTCTTAGAATTCAATAATTTGTAGGGTAAAACTAACTATTTACCAAAATACCGAAAACTGAGCAGTGTCTCCCAGCGAATTAGACGACTCCCTTCGTCTAATAGTTCAAGCCGTACAATCATCCGAATTTGCAGGTGATATCAATGCATTGAAGGCTGTAAAGCAGATTAATAAGCATAGCTCGCTATGCAGTTTATCACCGTTTTTGGATGATGAAGGCATTCTTCGCCTTGGAGGAAGATTGGAACATGCTATGCTACAAATGGATGCGAAACAACAAATGATATTGCCTTATAATGATCCTTTGGTGAAATTGCTATTTAAGATATGTGACGAAGAAAACAAACATTGTGGAGCTCAAGCCCTGTTAAACACAATAAGACAGCGATTCTGGCCAATAAAAGGCAAGATAACAGCATGGTCTACCGTTCAAAAATGCATAAAATGTAATAGAGCGCGACCACAACTATATCAACAAATAATGGGAAATTTGCCAGCGACAAGGGTAGTTCATGCTCGACCATTTATCAACTCTGGAGTCGAGTATTGTGGACCATTTTGGATACTCTACAAGGTCAGGGGCAAACGACCAACAAAGGCTTATGTAGCTGTATTCTGCTGCTTTGCAACAAAGGCAGTTCACTTAGAGCTCGTATCGGACCTATCAACTGAATCATTCATTGGCGCTCTTAAACGATTTATAGCTCGCCGAGGTCACTGCCAAAATATATCTTGCGATAACGCTACAAACTTTGTTGGAGCCAAAAATAGTTTAGAGGAATTATCTGAAACCTTAAATTCGGACAAGGCGCAAGAGCTACTTTTATCAGCTGCAAGTTCCAAGGGCATACAGTTCCATTTTATTCCACCAAGAGCTCCGCATTTCGGAGGCTTATGGGAAGCTGCTGTTTGAGGATTGCCTATTTTGACAACCCCGGAATTTGTCCAATATGTAATTAGGCAAACTCCTCACTCAAGGGTTCGGCTTGAGTATGTTAATGTACTTACTCCGTGGTAAATCTTGATGTTGTTCCAAAGGACACTCACTATGTTTGATTTGTCCCAGGGTGCAAGCAAGTCTTCCTCTCGAGGCAGCAATATTGTCCACTAGTTCTAAGAATCAAAATCTTCCTCAGAGTAAGCTTTTTTCTTCATACAAGTATTTCTCCAACAGCAGGGAAAGTAATTTGCTTGTAGCACAGGTTTCCTCTGATCGTTGGCCTTTTATCAATTCTTCCACAAATTGCCTTAATGTGTAAGGCCGTAATAATTTCCAATATAATTTATTTTCATTAAGCAATATGCAATTGCTCACGAGCAAGATATTATTTGTTGTTTATTTAAATATTCTTTATTTAATTATTTGCACTTTGCAATATTCCACTCAACAAGTGTGTTGGGTATTTTCACTTTATATTTTTTCCGCTTGCCCGCCACCAAAATTAAAAGACTTCTTGTTTCTTTGAATGTTTCAAATAGTAATGTTTTATTGTTCTAATATTCTGGCATACCAACCAGGATAGCGGGACAACATTTTTTTTTTTTTTTGCATAGAACAGCAGCAGAACGATCGACAGAGGCAGAGAAAAAGAATATGTAAATAAATGTATGTGCGTGTGTACATACATTCCTCTTGTTAGATCGTTCAACTGCTGTTGCGTGTAAACAACAACAATCAGTGTTATTCTCTTTGTGCGGCGAATTCACGTACATCGCACAAAGAGGAATAACAAAAAGGGCATTAGGGCGGTTTACAATAAGACGAACAATATGTACATTGAGAAAAATAATGCAATTGAATTAATGTTACATGGCTTACATTAATTGAAATATTTCATAAATTATAATGCAAAAAAGAATGTTAAATTATGCAATGAAATCAACTGACTCTTGAGCCAAAAAAAATATTAAATACATTTAATATGAATTATTAAAGGGATTTAACATGCCGGGCCCCATTGAAACCTCCGGTTTCAATCAAATTTTCATCTTGGGGTAAAACAGCTAATTTTGTGATTGGACGTCGAAATGTTGAATGTGGTGTTTTTACTTCGGCCACTCGAGCAAAGCCATCTGCCCCAGGGACAATGTTTGTGACACGACCAAGAATCCATTTCATCGGAGCGACATTGTCTTCATGAACTATAACCAAATCATTGACCTTTAAATTTTGTTGCGGTTTTTTCCAACGATAGTGATTTTGAAGTTGAGCAAGATATTCGATGTGCCACCTGCGCCAAAAATGAGACTTTATTGCTGATATTCTCTGCCAGTGTTGCAAATGAGATATCTCCGAGTCAAAGTTTGTCTTCTCTGGAACACTTTGCAGAGGGCAACCTATTAATAAATGCCCAGGAGTAAGAGCGTCCAAATCGTTGGGATCCGTTGATAACGAGCCAATGGGACGTGAATTTAAAATTGCCTCAATTTCCACCAGGGCTGTTGATAACTCTTCAAAAGTCAGTCGAGCATTATGTAGCGTTCGGAACAAGTGACCCTTTGCTGATTTTACGGCCGCTTCCCATAATCCGCCAAAATGAGGGGCCCTGGGAGGAATGAAGGAAAATTCAATAAATTTTGTTGAAGCGAACTCTGCAATGGCTGCCTTATTTGCCTCCTGATGAAAATGGTGGTGAAATTCATTTAATTTCCTCTCAGCGCCAATGAAATTGGTGGCGTTGTCGCAACAAATTTTGGTAGGAACACCTCTGCGACCAATGAAACGCTTTAATGCTGCTATAAAGGCTTCACTGGACAAGTCTGAGACCGCTTCAAGGTGGACAGCCTTTGTTGCAAAGCACACAAACACAGCTATATAGGATTTATATGGACCCTTTCCGCGGATCCTGAGGTATGTGGGTATAGGGCCGGCAAAATCGACTCCAACTACTTCAAATGGACGAGAACCAGTTACTCGATCCTTGGGTAAGTTACCCATTACTTGAGTCAGCAATTTTGGTTTGTACCTTGTGCATTGTTGTTGAGTCAGAGATACCAATGCTCTTGGGCCAGCATGGTAATTTGTGCGATGTATATGAATTATCATATTCTTAACAAAATGGTCATTCTTTGGTAGGAGCAAGGGAAATTTAGCATCTGTAGTCAAATTTGAATTCAACAACCGACCACCTACACGGATTAACGGCACTCCATCAACTTCTTCTATAAACGGAGCCAAAGATGATAGCTGACCAGAAACAGAGCCATGTTTTGAGAGTTCCATAAATTCCTCTGAGAAATAGTCCTGTTGAATTAGCCATACAATTCTGTGAAGAGAATGCTACTGAATTTATGGACAATATTTAACATATCGGGCAATCCTTCTATTTTTGCTGCCAAAGTGGTTTTGCGTTTCTCCAATTGCAATTCACACTCGCTTAGATTTGGACCGGAACGATTTGGCCAATCGTGAAATGGACTCCTGAGAAAGGAAGGCCCCTGATACCAAGCTGAATTCAATAAATCGCCCACAGAGCAACCTCGAGATACTAAATCGGCTGGATTCTGGTCCGTTGGGACATATTGCCAAGAGACATCATTGCAAATTTCTTGAATTTCTGCTACTCGGTTTCCCACGAATGTTGATAAAGTCGAAGAGTGCGAATTTATCCAATGAAGGGTAATTTGAGAATCCGACCAGAAAAATGTTTTTGAAATAGGAAATTTAAAGTACAGTTTCAATTGGCTCCAGAACGTCGCGAGTAAATGGGCAGCACATAATTCCAGACGAGGCAGAGTTCTTGTTTTTAAAGGTGCAACTCTGGATTTTGATGCAATTAAATGTACAGATATGTTGCCGAATGAGTCTTCGCATCGAAAGTACAGGCAACAACCATATGCCTTCAATGAGGCATCTCCAAAGCCATGAAGTTGAATATTGGTATAATTCGGCATTCGAATGTATCGAGGAACTTTAATTTGCGACAAATTATGATAATCCGCCATAATATTATTCCAAGCCGAGTCAATTTCTTGGGGTACTGATTCATCCCAATCACATTTTATAATCCAAAGATGTTGGAGTAAGATTTTGGCTTTTATTATGAGTGGGCTTATTAAGCCCATTGGGTCAAAGAGGGTTGACGTCAGAGACAAAATATTTCTTTTAGTATTATGTGAATACATTTTTGATGGCCGAAACTCAAAGTGGAATGTATCATCGTTTGAGTGCCATGTCATTCCCAAAGTGCTAGTGACGTCATCATCCAGTTTCATCTCTTTGATCCCATCATCCATTGAAGTCAATTCGGGGCAGTTGCTATGCCACTTTGAGAGTGAAAATTTGGAGTAAGTTAAAATTTCCGATACCTCCTTCTTGATGCGTTGTAAAGAGGCAAGATCGTCAGCACCAGTCACCATATCATCGACATAAAAATCATTCTCGACTACAGACCTTCCAACGTAGTAAGGTTTTGGGAAACGTTCTGCAGCATAATGCAATGCTCTGATGGCCAAATATGGTGCTGAAGCAGTTCCGTATGTAACGGTATTAAGAGCAAAAGTTTTGACCGGTTGTGTAGAGTCATGTCTCCAAAGAATCAACTGGAGTTGCCTATCCTTAGGGTGGACCAAAACCTGCCGATACATTTTGACAATATCAGCTGTCAGTCCAAATCGATGGCATCTGAAACGGAGCAAGGTGATCAATAAATTGTTTTGGATTGTTGGCAGCTTCACCATAATACGTCCATCATTTTGAACTGAGACATTTTCCACAAAATGCTTCTCGCAATGTTGCTGCTCCGGAGACAACTTTTGACGCTTAGTTTCCACCGTATCAATTTTCCAAAGCATTTCCATATTCTTATTAAGTTCTTGGAAAATATTCTCACTTTGCACAATAGAGTAAGTTGATTGTTGTGTATTTAATTTATTGCTGCTATACTTCCCTGAGACAATCCATCCAAAAAGTGTTTTTTGTAATGTGGGTAAGTTATTTCCAAGTTTTATTTGACCAACGGACAAGAGTTGAAAGAAAGATTCTGCTCCAAGTAGCATATCAATTCCTCGACGGCGATGAAACTCAGAATCGGCCAGTTCTATGTTAGACGGCAAATTAAAATCTTTAATTGAAATGTTTTCATCGGGGTGATAGCCAGTAATATTTCGTGAGACAAGAAACTCCAATGATAAATTAAAATTGTTTAGACGAGATCGAATAGTAGTTTGTGTTTTGTAGGAAACCTTTAATTTCGAAGAACCAACTCCTGAGACATCGGTATGATTTGGACATTTCTTTAAGTTCAGAATATTACAGAGACCTTCGCTTATAAAATTCACCTGGGAACATGAGTCAAGTAGAGCTCGTCCAAGTTGAAATTTCCCCTCAGAGTCACGAACCAATACTAATGCTGTAGCAAGAATTACATTACTCACTTGAGGGCTAGGCTTGTTCTGAAAAGTACCATGTGTGGCAGCAGAGGAAGGTAACGGTTCTTCGTCTTGAGAGCAAGTTGGTTGTTCGATTTGCTTATGTAGAAGCGAATGATGACGTTTTTTACAAAATCTGCATGAATATTTTGAGGGACATTGTATGTAACCATGCCCTTTTGCGAGACAGTTCAGACAAAGATTATTATGTTTCGCTTGTTCAATTCGTTGATTGGGAGTTAAAACAATAAAGCGTTGGCAAGTTGTTATCATATGGCCCGATTTCGAGCAATGCGTGCAAACGAAATCTTGAGGCACATTTTTTGTTATAAACGAATGTTGTTTTTGATTACTATGTGAGTAATTTGTTGTTGTATTAGGGGAAAATTGTTTTGCTGATCTTCGGCACTGAGCGTCCAACTGTTGACAACGCTTGTCCAACATGGAACAACACTCAGCCCAAGAGGGCAATTTTGAATAATCTATGAATTCATCCCATCGTTGTTTAGTCTCCGAGTCAACCTTGCTCATAGCCAAATGAATTATGAATGCATCACAAATCTTTTCATATGACCCAAGGGATTTTAAAGAGCTATACAAAGCTGAAATGGTGTCAACAATATTCCTCAACTGCTTTGGGACAAGTTTATTCGATTTCGGAAGGTCAAACATCGTTGTGACATTTTCGAGAAAAATCAAAGTGTCGTTGTCGTACCTCTCCTTTAATCTCTTAAGAGCACTCGGATAATTTTCATCTGTGACCTGGAATGCCTTTATTGTGGCAAGGGCTTCCCCACTGAGACATGAGAGCAAGTGGTTAAATTTTTCCGAAGTGGATATATTTTGGTCATTGTGGACCAAATTATTAAATGTATTAATAAAATTCTTGTACTCCAAATATTTTCCATCAAACTTGGGTAATTTAAGGCATGGAAGTCTGCTCGATGGCGCATGAGGCAACACAAAAGACTGATCACCAATGCTTGGTCGTCTGCCTTGTCCAATGAGAGTCAGAATTCGTGATTTGATCGTAATATAAAGTTCATCAATTTCAGCCCTACCAGTATCTTGAGGGGACAATCTTTCAATTTGATTTTGATAGTAAGAGGCTTGTTTGTAGTATGACTCTATAATTCCCAACCTGCATTCCAATTCTGTATGAGACAGAGAGGGATTGGATTCAATTATATTTTTTATGCGAGTCATACTACCCTTAGATGAGCCACGCTGTTGTTTCAGCTCCTCAATAGTTGTTTCCCTTTGGGACACTTGAGCTGGTTCATTCATCATAATGTTTATTAATTCAAATATAATTTGGGTATGTATAAAATGTCTTAACCACGAATATATTGCGTAAGGAGAGCAAGCGAGCAAAGTTTTTTTTTTTATATTCCAGCAAAATGGAGAAAGAATTTATGTAGAGTATGTTGTCTCACTCTAATTTTAGTTTCAGCAATGTCGATAAATGCTTACAAAAAATGACGCCAATTTCTTCTTTAAAATGGCGTAAATATGGCCGACGGAGAAAGGCGGGCAAAAATATACCAAATGCACTTGGTTATACAACAGCACAAATTTTTGGAGGTTAGGAGGACGCTTCACAATGTCCTGTCACGGTCGCCAATGTTTGAGGATTGCCTATTTTGACAACCCCGGAATTTGTCCAATATGTAATTAGGCAAACTCCTCACTCAAGGGTTCGGCTTGAGTATGTTAATGTACTTACTCCGTGGTAAATCTTGATGTTGTTCCAAAGGACACTCACTATGTTTGATTTGTCCCAGGGTGCAAGCAAGTCTTCCTCTCGAGGCAGCAATATTTTCCACTAGTTCTAAGAATCAAAATCTTCCTCAGAGTAAGCTTTTTTCTTCATACAAGTATTTCTCCAACAGCAGGGAAAGTAATTTGCTTGTAGCACAGGTTTCCTCTGATCGTTGGCCTTTTATCAATTCTTCCACAAATTGCCTTAATGTGTAAGGCCGTAATAATTTCCAATATAATTTATTTTCATTAAGCAATATGCAATTGCTCACGAGCAAGATATTATTTGTTGTTTATTTAAATATTCTTTATTTAATTATTTGCACTTTGCAATATTCCACTCAACAAGTGTGTTGGGTATTTTCACTTTATATTTTTTCCGCTTGCCCGTCACCAAAATTAAAAGACTTCTTGTTTCTTTGAATGTTTCAAATAGTAATGTTTTATTGTTCTAATATTCTGGCATACCAACCAGGATAGCGGGACAATATTTTTTTTTTTTTTTTGCATAGAACAGCAGCAGAACGATCGACAGAGGCAGAGAAAAAGAATATGTAAATAAATGTATGTGCGTGTGTACATACATTCCTCTTGTTAGATCGTTCAACTGCTGTTGCGTGTAAACAACAACAATCAGTGTTATTCTCTTTGTGCGGCGAATTCACGTACATCGCACAAAGAGGAATAACAAAAAGGGCATTAGGGCGGTTTACAATAAGACGAACAATATGTACATTGAGAAAAATAATGCAATTGAATTAATGTTACATGGCTTACATTAATTGAAATATTTCATAAATTATAATG